AACTACAAACCATTTACAAAGGCATATTGTGTTTACATATTATAGTCACCCATTTACTATTATGTCTAAAACTAAATTCTGGAGCTGCAGAACATCTGAGAAGTTATTAAATCGGTTGAATAAAGTCCACCTGTCCACTCTGAGCCTGGATCTGTTCTGGGACGGGTTCTGCCACACCGAGCAACACAGCTCATCCTGCCAGCAGCACCAAACATAGAAAAATAGATTCTAATGATTATGGAGGGGAAAGAAAATGTTTGCAGCATTAGAATCCCCCCTTGGGAGAAATAAAGATCATTTCCAATTCCTTTCACAGAGGCGGATCAGCTGAGGGTCCACATGCATCTTTCAGGTCCATTTTTGTTTTCAGGATCTTATTTCATGTCTACCTCTCCTGAGGTGAAATTCATCCTCACTTTTATAAAAAGCCCAGAGCTTAGGGTGGTTAGCACCATCACCTCACAGCAAGATGGTTTGTTACATATATCCACACAATTCCTTTAAAGACAACTGCATGACTCGATTTGCATTTTCAAACAGTTTCATGAGCAGAATCAGTGAAAGACTTTAGTGAATATGGTATTTCACTGGCAAACAGCAAAAGAGGAGGCGGCATTCTGAATATTGTCCATAAATCCTTCTTGTTTATCGTGTGTTGTCCCATTTGATGCCATGACAACCACACAATGCATGCACGGAGCCCTCCCATGCCACAGGTGGGGCCTCATTTGGTCGACATCACAGAGCCACATTTCCCAGCAGTAGAGCCTCACTTAGCATCTGCTTCCAATAGGCAAATCTGTGGTTCCCATCCCCCACCGATCCGGAGCAGGGACCCCGAAACAATGATGTAACACCCCACAGGATTATGTAACTCATTTGTGCTGGCAGTCTCACACAGAGGGTGGAGACCATGGTAACACAATAAATTCAGTGTGAACACATGAACTCAGCGTGCGTCTGTTTTTTCACATTCTCTGTGTATGGGAAAGTTAGAAATGACCACAGCACCTATTCAGGGTTTTGGACCTTCCATTTTATACAGAAAGTCCAAACCAGAGTCACAGGGGGGGCTGTAGCCTAGCCCAGCTGTCATTGGGAGAGAGGCGGGGGGGCACCCTGGACCGGACCCCTGTCCATCTCAGGGCCACACAGAGACACACAAGACAGACAACCGTGTACACTCAGTGGCCTTAGGGGGGGGGGGGGCACAGAGGGGCAGCAGCACCTCATGGGTGTTGGGTCCATGTCTCCATCTACACACAGCTGCCAGCAGCTCAGAGGCTGACTGCTCACATCTGGAAGCTTTTCAGCACATGAGTTACTGAACTTTGCAGCCTCCACACCCTTTGTCTGGACACAGGCCCAGTTCTCCTGCCTCTCAGTTTCACTGACCACTTAGTTAGGTTCATCCACTCACATGGAGACGGTACCCTGATCTATCTGGGACCAGTCTCACTGACACATCCGCATGATGAGAGCCTCCAGCTCTTCCCATCAAACCCCTCACTCATCCATGGGTTACAGCAGCTGAGGTCCTGACTGATGACCTCTGACCTTCTCTGAGCGTGTGGGCTCTGCTGCCTGGTTGTGCTGCTGAGTTCTGTTCCACATAAAGAGGATTTAACGTTTGGCCAACTGATCCAGCTTGAGGTCAAGTATAATGAAATGTTGTTATCATCCTTACACCCCATCTGAAACATGAAAAGACAACTGGATAACTGAGCTCCACCCACAGGTTGCTGTGTGATGGACGGAGCCTCGTCTCACTGTGAAGCTCCACTTTGGCCTGGTTAGGTAAACCCGGCATGCTCACACCCCCTGGTACAGGTAAACAGCAGCATAAACAACTATAATAATCATGATTACAACAATGATGGGTGCAATACTTTTCTGTAACATTCTTTTCAGGAACAAATGTAAAGTTCAGAGGGTCACGAGGTCTGACATGACAACCAGATGTGAGCCAAAAGTCAAACACAAACAGCTCTTTTTCCTCAGATTAGAGCTCCCTCTTCAGGAGGAGAAACTCCCCGAAATCTGCACTTGAAAGTGGTGGAAAAGATCAAGCGGTTCCCACAAGAGCCCCAGGCCACAGTTTGGGAGCCCGCTCCAGACTACCTGGACCACCTGGACCACCTGGACTACCTGGACTACCTGGACTACCTGGAGCACCTGGAGCACCTGGATCACCTGGACCACCTGGACTACCTGGACCACCTGGACCACCTGGACTACCTGGACCACCTGGACCACCTGTCCCGGCCCCCCGGCAGGAGCTTGGATGAGGTGTGCCCTGCCTCCACAGACAGCCCGCAGACGCCAGACTGCTGGCAGCCGCGTGCGCGCGGAGGAGCGTGGGCGCGCGTGGCCCGCCGGCCGGTGTCGGGTTCCCGGGAACAGCAGCGGTCCGTGACGCGCTGCGGGCGCGCGCACTGCCGCCGGCCGCGGGTCCGGGGGAGGTGTGTGTCGGTGCCGGTGCTGCTTTTGCGTTTGCTTTGGGTGGTGTGTGTGTGTGTGTGTGTGTGTGTGTGTGTGTGCGTATGTGTTGGGGGGGTCTCCCCGTACCCCGGTCCCGCGCCAGGCGGCGCCGGGACGCAGCGCAACTCTCACAGCTGTGCGCGTGCGTGTGCGCGGTGCCACTGAGAGGCTGCGGCCCCGGTCCTCCTGCGGCCGCGGAGAGGACAGACAGCCAGCACACACACACGCACACGCACAGCGGCCACTTACCCCCGGCGTCCCGGAGAAGCGCTGGCTCCTGAGGGCTGGTTCCGACCCGACTGACTCCTGACAGCCGGAGAGTGCATGTAAACGCGTGTCAAGTTCAGAGCAACTTCCACCACCTGCCGGCACAGCCTTTCCCAATAAAACCCCGGCCGGCCCAGGCTGAAGCCCAGCTGCCGCTCAGGGCTCATCATGATGGGATGGCCCCAGCCCCCCCCCCCTCCCTGAGCCAGCCCTCCACTTCCCACAGTGCCTGTCCTAGTCTCAGCAGCAGGATTTGCCCCTAACCCTGAGCCCGGAGGACTGGGGTCTGCAGGTGAGCCACCTGGTCTGGTCTCAGGCCTGTTAGCTGTGGGGGGGGAGGGGTCAGAGGGCCCCCCTGCTGCTCTGCTCTTACTTTGAAGGCTGAGCCCCGGATTCAGAGCGTGGCTTGACTAAGCAGAGCCTCTGGGTGCAGCTCTGAGCTGCCTGTGGTCAGACAGGCATCAGGATGTTCCTGCTGACCTGAAGGAGCTACTTTTACATATTGTTCTCTCAGAGTGGAGGTCCATCAGGGTCCTCAGCTCATTTATTCTGCTCAGCGTTGCTGGCTGGCTGTTAACGTGCAACCACAGAAACACATTCAAAGAGTGTGTTCTGGGTCAGAGTGTGTGGCGCTCCACAGGATGTGAGGGTTCTTAATGGTCTCCATTCAAATGCTCAGTTCCTCATTTGGCCACAGCTGAGGCTGCTCCTACAGTCCGGCTGTGTCTCCATCCAGGAACAGCTTTGTAAAATGCAAAATGTCTGCGCTGAATAGATAACTCACGCCTCCAACACAGAGCAGCTTTTATCTGCCGGGTCCTGGGAGGCCTGACCTGTTGAGGTGAGAGTGATAACACGTGAGGGCCCTGCCCCCCCTGCTGTTTGCTCACCCTGCCTCCTCTGAATGGCCCCCACAGCAACGACTTCAGACCCATGTTGCTAAGGGAAACCGGCCACGGCAAACAAATGACCCCCAACCGCCGTCCCAATGAGCCGGAGAGAACATGGACCCAGCCCCACAGAGAACACCCGGGGGTTTCTGTATGCCCCCGGTAAGAGAGGGTAGACCCCCCCCCCAGAGGAACCAGTCTGGGTTCAGGAAGCAGACCCCCCCCCCGCCCCCCCTCTGCTGGGGGGTGCCCATGATGCACCTCTGCTCCCTCTATGGACTCCTGGGGTCTCCCTCTGCTCTCTTTCCTCTCCATGTACATATTTTATTAAAGTTGCCATCTATGACATTCTCTGTACAGCTAGAGTTCCAGAATCTTTTGGTTACACTTTGACTGAATGAACCTTTCAGCCCTGAAAGCTGGAATGAGCTGAAGCTTTTCCGTCTGTCCGCTGAGGCTTCACTGATCTCGTATCTGTGACACGGCGGTGCTGCTGGACCAGGCCGGTCCTTCTGGGTCTGCTTCATTTGCAGAAGCAGGAGACTCTTTTTTTATATTACTCATCAGTTTCTCTTCAACAGAGCCAGTCCAGCTACACAAAATTAGGGGAAAACCGGTTAATTGATGTACCATATATTAATCCACAAAGTCCTCTTATAACTGAATTAAATGGAACAGTACAGTACAAACCACCAGATGGCAGCAGATCACTGTCAAAGTTCCCAGGTTTTTAATCCAAAAAGTTTGGGGTTTTTCCAGCTTCACAAGTTATATTTCATTAATTGTTTGCAGCTTTTTTGACAGTTATTGTGTTCTTTGGCACTTTGCTTTGGTATGGTTTGCAAAGGAAAATCCTGTTCGAGAGACATACATCTGAAGGGCTCTTTATACAAATGAATCTGTCAACTGAATTTTAAAGCGTACTTTCAATGATTTCTGTATGCTCAAAAAATATAGAGAAAGACTGGAGGCTGGGAAAAATAATAATTCACATTTTAAGTAGGATTTTAGGAGTGAATGGTATTTTTTACAGCACTTTTTACAGTGGTGACATGAAGACCGTCATTGCTATGGGAATGCAAGCAGGAATGTTTGTCTTTTTTCTTCCCAAACGTCTATTCACTAATGCATGTGCAGTCTCCTACAATGTCTTTTACCATGCACACTGTTAAACGTCTGCACACACTCATAAAAAAGGGTTTTGATTGCGAAAATCCTACTTCCAGTTATTGGCTGGATTCCTTTACCGCAAACCAAAACTTCTATTTACTCCTCAAACAAACCACCTTTGTCCACAAAACCACCACCACCCATAGAGACCCACCATACTGTAGCTATACTTGAATTATTGGACATCGACCCAGGACCATCGGGACTTTTTATTTTCCACAAAGTTTAGATGAAACCTCACTGAGACGGCCTCAATGTGATCACAACTGTCAGAAGGATTCTGAAGTCAAAACGTTGCCTCATTCAGAATATCTAAAGAACAAATTGGTCACATGTGGATTCAATACCCTGTGATTGCGTGATGGGTTTCCAGGGGCAACAGCACAACCAGGTGGTATTCTGATGTATTTACTCTGAAGGATCCGGAATCTGGCTGTTTGCTTTTGAAGGCCGGTTGTGTGCCCCTCCTGTGAGGCAAGCAGTGCATGCTGGGGGGCAGCTGTTTAAGACCGGGCAGGGCGGATCCGGAGAAACCTGTATCCTGAATGCTCACTGTTGTTTAATCTCATCCATGGAGACCCAACATAAGATTAACAGAGCTCTCACGCCTCGTCACAGACATCATCTCCTCATCCTTTGTGTGCCCTGTCTCATGTGTTCTTTGAGCCGCGGTGGGCCAGGTTCTTTAAAAAACAACTTATTCTTTTATCTTTTGAGGCAGACGCTACCACGGAAAAATGTAGCAAATAGCCATGTAGTACAGTCTGGAGACACAAAAAGAGAAGTTGTCAAATACAAATCATTATCTTTTCACCTTTGTAAATGTGCTTCTCTTTATTGGGATTACTTTCAGAAACACTTTTGAATATTCATATACTGTTTTGTACATTTGTAACACATTTATTCTGAATGTACAAAACCCCCTCTAAACTCCAGCATAAGTGCCGTTGTAAAAGAATGGCTTGTCTGTCACACAATGGCCCACGACTTCAGGTGTCCATCTCTGGACTTTGGGCTTGCCATCCTTGTCAGGCCGGATGATGACAGTGCTTTTGGATGCCAGAGAGGGGTCTTCATCAAAAAAGTTGAAGGGCCGCAGGAAGAAGCCCACAGCGTTGCCGGGCGTCGCCGTGTTGGGGATGTCTTCTGAATGTGGCACATGCAGGAAACCTACGGTCACCCAGGCCACCAGGTCCTGGAGGAGAGAGGCCCACATCACAGAGCGTTCACCACAGAATGCAGATCCAGAGTTCCCTCATTCCACTCACCAGCCCAAACTAAGAGCATTATCAAATCACTCTGATTCCTTTGCCATCAAATTAGATTTGGTCCATTTTTCTTTGCAGTGGAATTTTGGTAAATTGTTTCCCCATCACTCTTCATTTATTTGGTCAGTCACAAACTACTTCAGTCAATTTGATTTGAAGCAGGATTGTGGAAATCCCCTGTTATCTGAGAGCTAATAATCACTCGACTGATTAGCATGCGTGTCAAAATGTATCAACTTAATGTTCATGTTGTACCTTGTTTACTATGTCCTCTGCATTAATGTAGTCATCAAAGAGCACTGCAGGCTCCCAGGGATCGTTCTGGGCGTAGATGCTGCTGCTGGTGGCCTCGCTGTCTTTATGGCGGGTCACAGCTAGGCGGTACCTGGGGAGAAACCGGTACCTGAACACTTCTGTTCCCTCACAGTAACAATGTTATTCTATAAATGTATTATTGTAGTCTTAGCATGAAAACAAAACGTGTTCCTTGGATTTTCTTTGCTAGTAAACACTGAGTGTGACAAAGAATCGTCACAGGTTCCATAGTCAGCTCAAGCTGGGTGCCAGAGTTTAGCTTTAATGAAGATGGGTGGTCTTACAGTAGAATGATGCTGCCAGCAGAGCAGAGCTGAGACTCTTCCACCTCACCCATATTTCTTTGAGTGATTCATGAATCTAATAGTTATTCTGCAAACTTTGTCAGATTCAAAACCAAAGACATTAGATCTCACAACATTTCTTTTTAGAATTTTTAGATTTATGGCATTCAGCAGATTTGGATCATTCTCAATGCTATAGTGGGATACAATTGTGAAACAACATGAGCAGAAAATGTTTTATTACCTTGACCAACTGATGCCATTTTCCTCTCTCCAGCCTTTTGGAAGGACACTGTGTGCATGAGAGTTAAATTGAATCCGATAACCCTTCTGATGTCCCCATTTGTTTTTCTCATTTGGGTTATAGAAGTGCACATAACGAGGAAACTTCTTGCCGAACCGGAAGGCAGCAGATCGTTCAGTCTTGTGCTGCGTTTTGTGAAGCTTGGATTGCACAATGAAATGCTTTGGGCTCCATGGATTTGTAAAGTTGACATATTTCAGGTCAATGCTCTCAAAGCTGTTTTCTCGTCCTGTCAGAGTCAAGACAAAGAGTAAGAAGAAATTGTTTATCAGGCATCAAGCTGCTTTGAATGTTTTAGATGAGAATTATGTAGAATAATTTCAGTAATCATAATAATAAAACTGATATAACTGATACATCAACTTTATTCTATTTGAAAGATCTCTTAAATCATATAGGGACGCAAACATCTTGTAAGATGTTTTTTTCTTACTACATTCTTTCTGAATGATCTGAGAAAAGATTTGTGTTACTCAGGCACAATAGGCCTTGTCTGTCTTTTATGATATGGTAAAGTCCAGAAACAGACCGCTTATCTAAGTACATTAGGCCAAGTACATTTTTTTCTATGTCAGGGGAAAGTCCAGAAACAGACTGTTTATCTATAGGATTGAGTTAAGACACAAAATAAAATACCCAATATATGAAGAAGAGTAAAACTAAAACCTCTTAAAAGGAATCTAAAAGAAAGAATAATTATATACAAACATCGCCCCACTTTTTCACATTGGATTCAAAGGTAAAAAGTGAATATACCACAATTTACACAACACAAAATAAACATATAATGAGTTGTAGTTTTGCTGCACTGTGGTGTTTTGAAGAATATATACTTCACTATTGTACTGGTATAAAACCTAGACAACTAAAACACTCTCATACATACCATCAATATCCAAGTCCACTTTATAATGGATGAGGTGTGTATGCAAGTTGCCTAGCACATGGTCATACACCTTGGAGCCGTAGTGAAGTCCATTTGGTGTAAAGAAGGTGGCATGGATGTATCCAGAAGCACTGACCTTCACTTCCACTACCCCATTCTGGTAGAAGACGAAGTCCCAGATGTAGTCATAGTTGTAAACTGTCGAGGTTGTACGCAAAACCAGAACTGTGTTCTCCAGCCCTCCGTAGAAATTGTATCCTCCCTGAAAGTTGGAATTGAAGTGCCTCCTCAGAGGCATAGCGGTGGTCATCTCAAAAATACAGAGAGCATTTTTATGGAGAACGGGTTTGTCTGTGTCAAAGTAATGATAAAGGTCAATAAAGCTAGCAATTTCTGGGCAGTCGATTCCCGGTGCCAGTTCATAGGTTGAGGTGCCCATGGCCCAGCCCGCATCGATGTACTTGGTTTGCATGGCAGCAGGAGTATCACCAGAATAGAAGGCAATGGCTTCTTGGAGACTGATCTCATAGGCAATCCTCTCCCCGTTAAAACGGAGATCAAAAACTTGGAGTCCAGCTGAGGAGCGGACTCTGTAGGCAAAAGACCAGCCAGCATATTCAACGAAGTTGCTTTCAATGCGATAGCGATGTCCCTGTGGCTCAACCAGCTTGGGCCCGTGGACATGAGTGGGAGTGCTGCTCTGACCCCGGGGTATGTAGGTAGAGTAAAGGTCATCATCACTGTGACTGGGCAGTTTGATCTTCTCCACATGTCCTGAGTCATACTTTTCCAGCAGTTCCTCAATACTGTCAAAGTACATGCTGTTGTACCAGACCTTCTCAACTGTCCAGTTTTCTGGATCCAGATCTCTGTGGTTGACCAGTACCTCAAATCCAATTGGGTGAATGAAATAACCCTCCACAAACTTTTGCAGCATAATCCAGGACCTCCTTTCCCCTGGGGCCAGGCCACGGGGCGCGATGTCTGAAAAGGTCAGGCAGCGGTCTGAACAGTTGGTGTAGGAGAACCCTCCGGTGGTCTCAAACAGGAGCCGGTGAGCCCTGGATGTGATCTTTTCAAGGATGTTGTTAATGTGGTCGTACTCTACAATAGTGATTGGCCTTGACTCAAACTGGACAGGCCTCTTCCCTTTGAAGGTTTTGATTTCATGAGAGGTGGGGGATGGCAGAGGACCTACGATGTACTCAGTGATGTTGGGCTTGGTCTGGTCACCAAACTGGATGACCACACGAGCTTGCCGGGGGGGCTTGGCCTGTCCACGGTCCAAAGCTCTCAGAGCCTCATGCTTCTTGGGCAGATGAAGTTCCATCAGCAGGATACTGTTCTTCTTCAGCGTTTCACTACGAGCATCTGTGAGCTTCATCTCTTGAATATTGTGAAGGTAGGCGCGCACAGCTTTCATCTCACGGGGTGTGAGGTCAGCAAAAATAGGCGCTCCATGAAGAGCCCAGTTTCTGGATCTGGTAGTGTTACAACCAATCAAGGCGATCAGCTGCAGCGCAAAGACAAGCTTCACTGCAGAAAGTGAAGAGAGAAGGATGTCACGTGTTAATAAAAGCAGATATGACACTCAGAGAGGTCCATTTAACTGCATTTAAAGCGTCACTTAAACTATAGATATTTCCAAATCTATGAATTATATTTCTCCTGAATGAAAAATACAAAACTAAAGTCAAATCCTCATTCTTCTGCTTTTCTGGAAGAGCTGGACAGAAGTTTGTTTTCTTGGCTACCCAGCCCCAGCTCTATGTGCTGAGTATCTGTGTCAGGCTCTGTGGCTCCACAGTTTCATGTTAGCTGCATTTCTCCCATCACTACTAACATTCCCCTCAGGTTCTGGCTGTAACTGATTATAGCTGCTACTAGAAGAAGGTATCTAACATTTTCATGAAACAGAGGTGTGAATTTAAAAACTTTCATGCATTTTTCTAAAATATTACATGTGCATTATCACATAGAAACAGACCCAGCTACTGTACCTGCTACTGTACCCATTGTTCTCCCTCAAAAAGACAGATTAGCTCAGTCCTATGGCTCCAGCAGCTGAAAAGAAGTGTTTTGTGAATAGAAATCAGCACAGGTCTGCTTATATCTAACAGGAGTGGCTTGTGAAAGAGATGAAATAACCTTTGGTCAAATATCCAGGGGATCACAGAGAAACACTCCTTCCTGGAAAGAGTCAAAGATAAATGAGGTGGTGTGACAGATTGCGGTGAGACATATAGATACAAAATATAATAAACCTGCCTTTTGATTGACCAATAGCTGAGAGGCATACCTCTCTCAAAGCACTGTCTGTATTATTTCCATAGCACAGTGCATAAACAAAGAAACAGTGACATCTAAAACATGAACAAAAGTTTATTGAAAATAGTCTGCAGAGAAGATGTAATGGTAAAACTCAATGTTCTAGACAAAGAAATTTCAAGTTAAATGCTAAAATAGATTACTTTATTTACATTATGAAGCAATTGGTAAAAATAAATAAATGGGCTTTAAAAGCTGCATAACTATAGAAGAAATTAATATAAAGATTATGAAAACTGTGTTGCATTAAATGGTGAATTTTTAGATGTTGATATATGTTTGTAGTTTCAGACATCAACAGTTCGGTAACTCCTCTGCCTCTTTATGGGATAATTGTACATGGTACAATGTAGTCTTCAGTAGTTTTAGAGAATGGAGGGCAAAGGCTCTGCCTTCCAAGGTCCTGTGCTCCGTGCGGCTGATAGGAGTGAGGAGGCTGGTGTTGCCACACATTTGTGGCAGTGCACTTGACAAGAGGACTGGATCTCAGGGAGGACTCAAAAAAGGTTTTATTGAACCAAAAACGCACTCAAAAGGAATGGATGACCAGACAAAGTTCAAACAAGGCAGACGAGACTATGAACAAAGTATCAAATCAAGTAAACAAGACGATGAACAAAGTATTAAATCAAAATCTCTCGTGACCGAGGCAAAAACAAAACTGTGACTAAAGTGCAAAATCAAAACCCTCTCTTACGAGGGATGAACAAGACGAGGAACGAAAACACACTGTCAACAGACAAGGGGAAATGAGGACTATTTAAACACATGAGGGAATGGAACCCCAGGTGTACACAATAGGTGATCAAGGAGGACATGACAACACACCAGACATTCCCCCAGACGTGACAGCAGTTCGGTCCATAATTCATCTAAGATGGGGGATCTAGTCCCTGGTGATGGTGTGTGATGCATGTTCAGTACATACCTGAGAATCTGTGTCAAGCCCCAGTTCTCTCATGGGACTGATGGGCTGGGAAACAAATGTACAAATGTACTTGACTAACGAAACAGGGTTGGTATCTTTTATTAAACATGACTTGATACATGGAAGTGTATACATTTACAGTGAAATGTTTTTTGTGAATTCCGGGTTCCTCCCATTGTCCAAAAACCCGTGTGTTAGGTTGATTGGAAATTCCAAATTGCCCCTTGGAGTGGATGCATTGTTGAGTGTGTGTGGTTGTTTGATTGTGTGTCTCTAGTGGCCCTGTGATGGACTGGCCGGATGTCCAGGGTGGACCCGCCTCTCGCCCTTTGCATTCTGGGATAGGCTCCCCACCCCCGTACTCTGGGGGGACAGAAAAGGGATGGATGGATGTTTTTTGTGTTGGTTAACCTCTAAACTGCAGAAGTTTCCTGAAGAGGTCCCCTTGAGACAACAGTATTTCAGCCTGTGCTGTCTTTGGTCAGGCATGGCGTTTCTGTGTGGTAGCAGCTGTGTTTGAGCCAGCGGGGTCAAGAGGTCACACCAGGGATATTGGTGGCTTTCAAAGTTTTCGGACCTCAGGTCCGTTGACATGTTTCATTGAAATAATGCCTCAATCATCCTTCCAGAGCAGGTTCCTTTGCAGGATTAGCTCTCCCAGACTTCCCCGCGCCCTCTTTTGTGGACAGTGTTCTGCCATGTCTCACTCTGCAGAGTCAGGGGAGGTTTTCAATAACCAATGACTGCCTTCCAAAATCTTACTGTGCAACTTATATCCAATTGCAGTTCCCTCAAATGCCACTGTATGCTCATGCCCCCTCACCCCCACCCCCTTTATATAGAGCTCACATCGCGCTCTGCGTCACTTACACCAGCTCCAGCTCTCACAGACGGGACTCTGGAGCCACAGGGCCTGATGGAAGGGACTATAATCTCACTAACAACTTGTGGTAGATTTCCCTAAAGCTCTTTACAGGTGAGAACGCATTTTGTCAACTGTAGGAAGGTTGGACTATGAAAGCGAATCAACCTTTGATTTGAATACGTATTTGCCAGTCAAACAATCAAAATAGATTGTACCTGATCATCTTTCTTTAGTCAGGTTTTCTTTTTCAGCTTTCAAGATTAACTAAGTAAAGGCAAACCTTTGTTATGATGATTACTCAAAGATGATTAAAACAGACATTATATCTTAAAGCTGTCTGAGACTAGCTAAAGTTATCCTTTTCACAGGACCTTTAAACCCAGAGATGAATGAGGCAGTTATGGAGCGACTACTTCTGACTCTGATTGGTCTGCAGACTGTGTCGGCTGATGGGTGAGTATAGACAGGGATCCATATAGCAGTTATTCCTGATAAATCAAACTTATTTTGCTTTCATTGTGTACATAGTGTATGAACTAGAATAGGCTCAATAGTTTTAGAAATGAAAAACAAAACTGCTGCCATTGAACATTTTTACATTCACTGCAATATGTTTTCTCTATGGACAAATGTAGATATTTCTTGCAAGATAATGCACATTTTTGCGTAAAACAGATAACAAATGAAAGGTGTGTGTCATGTTCCAGACACTGGTGTGCACACATGGTGGAGGAGAGAGCCGAGCACGTCCTGAGTCCACGTCTCCAGCTTGAAGTGAGCTGTTCTGCCGTGTATCAGTACAACAGCCAGGGCTGGAAGCTGGATCTGGACAGGATGCGCACCAAGTACGGGGGTGATGATGGCATTGCGCTATATTATAAACAACATGGGGCAAAGGCATCCTGTTTCCTATTCAAGTAAGTGAACATCAGCCCTGTCCTGCGTGGCCTCTGCGTGTGGCTCTCATCAGATCACCGGATGTGTTCAAAGACATGTTGCAGGATTAATTTCAAAACGCTGCCTCTTAAGAGTGGCTAAGTTCCCCCCGTTCTACTATGTCGTGGTGGGAATGATACGTCCTCACTGAGAGGAGGGCAGCATAAATGATCTGTGTATGTGTGGTCTGCACTCCTTTGGTAAACTCCTGAGAAATGAAACTGAGAGAATGCAGATATAGGAGCACAATATATCATCCGTCATTTTCAGATCGGTGTGTAATTTTAGGGTGAACATTCATGTTAGTGTTGCAGATTGTATCACAGGCACAGTTTTCTTGCTATCAAAGGGAAAGAGTTTATCAAGCTACAGTTGTCAACATTTCTTTTAAAGATGTGGATTGAAGGTTCTGTGTCAGATAATAGGTGATCATGTTGTTTAATTTCCAAATGATGGTGATACTTAACTGTTTCCTGATGCGTGTGTTTGCCTCAGGCCCCCAGAGATAGTGAGCCAAAGGGTGAACAAGACCGTGAGGGCCTGCTGTGAGGGGTGGGGTGGACCCCGCTGCTCTCAGGGTGAGGACAACACTTCCAATGTGATCCATTCATCGCCTTCATACACTGGGGTTTACACATACATGCTTTTTTATTTGTTTTTAAAACTTAAAGCCAAATACCACAGTTACATTTTACATTTGTGCTACTGAAAAGTGGAAAGAATGTTTCGTATTCCTCTGATCCAGCCAGCAGTCCTCAGATCCTTACACAGCTTAGTGTTGTCATCTTCTCTTTGATAAACGAGGGGAAAGGGGTCACAAATTCATGGTAATTACTGTAAATGTCTTAAATCCTTTCCATACTTATAGATTATAGCAACAACTCTTCTGAACTGACACTTCAGAATTTTGCTCAGGTTCCTTTGTGCTCAGATATTCTAAGCTCCCTTTTATCCTCCTTCACTCTTTGCTGAAGTTCTGCATGTGGTGTTCTCACTCCGTCCTCTGTCTTCCAGGGGTGGCTGCGCTCGGTCAGTGCTACTCCACATGGAGCTGTGAGGACTTCCCTGGAGTCCATAACTCCTCTCTGATGCCCATGGAGCAGTGCTGCTCCAGCCTGTGGGCCCTGAGCTGGAGGAATGCCTCCGACCTGGCCTGCTTGTCCTGCACCTACACTCTCCTTCCAGGTGTGACCAAAAGCCCCGCTGCTCGCCGGTTTCCATATGAGGACAGCCCATTAAGGTCTCCCTGCTCCTTCCAGACTCCCAGTCCTCGGTTCTGGTCCGCGGCAGCGTGCTGGGTTCTGACCGGGCCCCCCAGGGCTCGGCCACCTGCATGTCCTGGAGTGGAGCGCACTATCGCACCTTTGACAGGAAGCACTTCCACTTCCAGGGCACCTGCACCTACCTGCTGGCCTCCTCTACTGACGGCACCTGGGCGGTGTACATCAGTACCATTTGTGACAAAGGGGGGGGCTGCAGTAAGGTACTATTTGACATCTTTAGACGTTGTCCTGCTCTCAGGCTGCTCTGTGTGTTCTCTGGTGTGAGAGCCCCCGGGGCTGCATTCACACACTCCCTGGCTCTCTTCCCTCAGGTCCTGAGGATGATGCTGGGTCTGGATTTGGTTTCAGCTGATTACAGAAACCTGACCCTGAACAACGTCGTTGTTCTGAATGGACAGTCGCTGTTTCAAAACGGTAAAGTGTTTCAGCTCTTTGAAAAAACCTGTGAGTTTCCTCTCTGTTCTGAGGGGAATGAAGCCACATTTATTAGACACTTATCGTAAAAGTGCTGCACACATCTGGTGGGCTGACAGGCCCCACTGGCTGATTCTTTTCATCACCTCTGGATTCATGGAGTCATAAACAAGCCCCTGTTGTTGAGAGCCCCTCCCTGTCTGCAGGGGTGGCTGTGCGTTGGCTGGGGGACTTTGTGTTTGTGGAGAGCGGCCTGGGTGTGAGGGTGAAGTTTGACCTGCTGAACACGGTGTACCTGACGGTGAGCGCGGAGCACCGCTCAGCCACCAGGGGACTCTGTGGAGTCTACAACCACGATGCTGAGGGTGACGCTCATCACAGTTTGAACACACCGCTTTAGTTTTTCTGTCCTGGCTTCAGTTGTGAACAATAAGAGATGTTTGTGTCTGCTTTCCTCAGATGATTTCACCACAGTGGGTGGAATCGTGTCTCCCTACGCTGCCAGTTTTGGCAACTCATGGAAAGTTCCAGACCAGCAGAATGAGGTAATGTGCTGAATGCATTTCGCTTTCACAAAACAGACTATGGCACCACGCTGATTCCTTTAAAGGATGTCTGAGAGCAGCAGCTTGACTGTGTTCACCCATGAGCCCACGACTCACAGTGAGCAGGTCTGTGGTGTGCCTGCGTGGCTGTGTGTGGCTGTGTGTGGCTGTGTGTGGCTGTGTGTGGCTGTGTGAGCTGCAGCCTTCTGTCTCACGCCTCCAGCAGGACTGCAGCGACGCGGCGGAGCTGGGTCACAGCTGTCAGCTGGCAGGAGACCCTGCCCTGCGTCTTCAGGCAGAATCAGTGTGTCACCAGCTGCTGGAAAAGCCTTTCACACAATGCCATCTCCAGGTCAGAGCCACACAGGAGCTGCCTTGTAGTCTAACTAGCTCTTCCTGGTCTGGTTTAATAAGTTCTCCACAGGGTTTCCCCAACAACATTCATTTGGGGAATTCAGTTAGCATCTTCTCCCTGTCTATGCATGGCTTTTCCCCAGGTACTCTGCCTTCCACACATAATCCAAAAGCATGCACGTAAATTGACCACAGGACTGTTGTCTAGATTGTGAATCTGCATGAGGCCCTGTGATGGACGAGCCACCTCTCCAGGGAGAATCAAACTGAACAAATATCCTGCTGAGCCAATGGGCTCTGTGCCCGGTTCCTTTCCTCAGTGACCTCCCATGGCCCCCAAACCCCTTTAAGACTGTGCTAAATGCTGACACCAGCGTGTGAATGGGAATGTTTGTGTACCAAGGGGGGGAATGAAATGACAGGTGTGTGTCTTTCAGGTGGATCCAGCAGCCTACATAGACACGTGTCTTTACCTCTACTGCAGCCTGCCTCCAAAAGAGCGAGAGACGGCAGTGTGCGACACTTTGGCCGCATACGTCCGCGAGTGTGCCCAGCAGCACGTGGTCATCCTGTGGAGGACAGACTCGCTGTGCGGTAAGGAAACGCAACAGGGTTCTCACCATTTGGCACTGTGATTAAAGAAAAACAGTCCTCGTTAGAACTCAGGAGGATATACAGACTCTGAACGGACTGTCTGAGGAACGCAGACCCCCACCAGTAACTCTGCTTCCTGTCTCTGCAGGTCGTGTGTGCCCCAGAGGTCAGATATTTTCAGACTGTGTGTCCTCCTGTCCTCCCAGCTGTACGTCCCCTCAGCTCCTGGGACCGCCAACAGCCAAGGGCCAGTGCAGGGAGGAGTGTGTGGGGGGGTGTGAGTGTCCTCCAGGTCTCTACCTTCACCAGGGCAACTGTGTGAAGAGAGACGATTGTCCCTGTTTCCACCGCAGACGCTCCTACCTGCCCGGGGACACTCTGCGGCAGAGATGCAACACATGGTGAGCTCTGACAGGACTTTGTGCAGTTTCACATTCCCACTCATGACTTGACCTTCTCTCCGCCCTACCCTCTCAGTGTTTGCAGAGCAGGGCAGTGGCAGTGTTCCGGTGAGAAGTGTGCAGGCCTGTGCACTCTCATAGGAGCACTGCAGGTGACCAGCTTTGACAAAAAGAGGTACTCACTGCATGGAGGAGACTGTCCCTTTATTGCTGTGGAGGTAAGGCTAACAGAGCACAGAGCCTGCAAGTACAACAGAGCCTCGTGCCTTTGTGAGCACCTTTGTGTCTGTCTGTGCAGGACTTTGTGGACAGGAAGCTGGTGGTGGGCGTGCGCTGTGGGAGGTGTGCAGGAGGGGCGGGGGACCTGGGCTGTCTGAAGGAGGTCACAGTCACAGCGCTGCACAGCGTGGTCACCATCACAGACTCAGGTCAGGGACTCCCTGTTGGTCACTGAGCAGTCGACTGGCTCTGCCTTTGATTCCCTCAAATCCTCCTGAAGGGGTTTAGCTGTGTGTGCATGAGATTATTGTCCTCATATATCTATTTGATGTTAAACAGTGCACAATAAAACCTACCACACTGACAGAGTAATATTCCCTGTGCTACTTATTTAAGGAGGAAGTGGTTTCTATTGCTTCCCCTCTAGGCACCATCACACTGAATGGGCAGAGGGAGACATTGCCTTTGGTCACAGCAGACCTGGTTGTCCGTCGGGCCTCCTCTTTGTTTCTCCATGTCCAGACGTTTGGAGCCCAGCTTCTGTGGTACTTAGATGGACCCTTTGCCCTGATCAAACTGCAGCCAGGCTTTGCTAATAAGGTCGGTGAAACACCACGTGGGATCCTGTCTTATTCTAAGTAACTAAGGACACTAAATAATGTCCATTTTTTACTTCCTTAACTGGTTGTAGAAAAATATGCATCATGGCAGATTGTGTGTGGAAAGTTTCATTACCTGTGTATGCTAAACTTGATGGAACTCTCATCTGGATGCTGATGTTTGCATTGGTGTATCTCAGGTGCGCGGCCTGTGTGGAACAATGACCTGGAACCAGCACGATGACTTTACCACTCCAGAAGGAGACGTAGAGAACAGTGTGTCATCATTTGCAGAGAAATTCACAACAGAGCGCTGCAGGCTGCCGGGAGGCTCTCCGCTGGAGCCCTGCTCCACTTACGCCCAGAGGAGACACTATGCAGACACAGTGTGCGCCATCATACACAGTCATGTATTCCAGGTCAGTGTGTGAGCACAGCTTCAGTGGCCTACTGTATCGCCCTGCTCTTGTGTCCACATCGGCCCATTTTTTAGGTTTAATATTAGAGGCACACACTATAGCAGGGGTTTCAAACTCCGGACCTTGAGGGCTGCTGCCCCGCAGCTTTTCTTGTGTTCTGCACACCTGATTCTGATTAAACTGGATCTCCTCTGGACATTATTGAGCTTTGCCGGCCTGCTGATGGCACTTTTATGTGTTGAAACAGGGACACCTCTAACACCTGCAGGTCAGTGGCCCCCCAGGACTGGAGTTTGACACCTGTGCACTAGAGGAAGGTTAGTTTTAGTGGAGATGGGGTTTTCATCCAATTACAAGCTCAAGGAATGCTGGAACACACCGTATCCCTTAGAGTGAGGGCAGATTTGTGCCGGCATCCTTAGTTTATGGTGTGTGTTCCACTCAGGCTCATGTGTCTCTTGTCAGTGTTCCTGTAAGTGATCATGTCCAGCAGGATCTTACCATTTCGACCTGAAGAGTATGTGCATTTTTGTGACCCCCTGGTGACACCTTTGCTTTTTAGAAAGCAAAAGGTAGAAGATTATCTCATCAGAATGCCTTTGTCACACCCTAACCTTGTGTGGGCACAAGAATGGCCCAAAGAAAGCTGTGAAGCTGCTGGGAGTCCAAATCCATCCAGAGCCATGGTCCTTAAACTAAGAGGTGGAGGGCCGCTCCATCTTAAGGTATGGGCCTTCCACAGATGAATGTGATCACAGACACAGGCAGTGGAAGTGAGTTCTGACTGGATGTTGGCCCGTCTCAGACATGTGGCACAGTGTAGCAGCCATGCATCCAGGGGAGATCTCCCAATCAGCCGCTTTAGTCTGGATGGACAGGAGACCGCAGGGATGTCTCCAGCATACTGATAAGAGGCACTGGGGTAGGCCCAGAACTGATTAGAGGTGTTAGATATCCTTTCAGAGCTTGGAATGCATAGGGGGCCTAAAACTCACACTGATCACAAGCTAGATACCCAGATGTGTTCAAACATACAAGCACATTCTGGATGGATGGACAAGTCACCATTGGCTGATTTCTCTTTCTCTATCTGTCAAACACCACTTCCATCCTCTTCCCTCTAGGTGTGTCATGATGTGGTGGAGAGGCAGCCGTACTTCCATCTGTGTCTGTCAGAAGTCTGCAGCTGTGCTCCTCAGGAGTCCTGCCACTGCACCGTGCTCACGGCCTACGCTCAGCACTGCGCTCAGGAGGGCGCTGCACTCAACTGGCGCAACCAAACCTTCTGCCGTAAGTGCCACTGCACCTTTAATGGTCACAGGACAGAGTGCTGTGGATGAACTGGTTCCCTTCACATTAGTTCCCTCACTTATTTTGCTAAGTGAGTCCCTTTTCAGGAGGAAAAGTTCTATGTGTTTGGAAGACATTGATTGGAGAAAGAAGCACCTTGATTGGAGAAGACATTGATTGGAGAAAGAAGCACCTTTGACGTGGGGCTGTGTGCTTTAAATGACAAACAGGTGGTTTGTCATTTAAAGTACACACCTTAAAAATGGACTTGCGAATAAAGGCTCATGATTTCAAAGCCTCGTTGACCCTCACGTCCTAACCTATGCTATGAAGTTCTCTGAGTTGTTTCCCTTCATTTCACAACTGAAGTAAAAGGAAAAAAATTAAAAGCTCTGTTCTCTCCTCTCCTTTCCACCTAGCTGTCCAATGTTCTGGGGGTCAAATTTACCAGGAGTGTGGTCACACTTGTGGGGGTTCCTGCTCAGACCTCCAACATGGCTGGAACTGTGGTGACAATGGTGCTGGGATGGGTCACAGAGTGTGTGTTCCAGGATGCCACTGTCCAGCAGGACTTGTCCAGGATCACCAGGGCCAGTGTGTGCCCATCACTTTGTGCCCTTGTGTACAAGGAGGCAAGATGTATTCACCCGGGGCTGTAGTTAAAAACGACTGTAAAACCTGGTATGTCAAGAATAGAAACATGTGAGGAAGGTATGCTAATGTTTGAGTCAGGAACATTTCTACATTGGCATGAGTACACGCCTTCACTCTTTGCATGTATGGATTCTTCTGTAGTTCAGCAGAGTGTAAACTGTTTCTGCCAATCACAGACGATACATCTCTGCATGGCTTCTGCTCGCTTAAGACTCAAAGTCATTAGATATGTACACAGGTCCTACACTTAGGATGCATCCCATCAATAAGATAATGACACTCCACTTGATTATGCACTTCACTCTGGAAAACAGTGCAATAATACATATTCTTAGGAGGGAAAATAGCGTTCATGGGGATAGCATCCACTGTGCTTAAAAAGAGTTCTAAATGATTTTCAGGATAGAAAAGTTAAGGCAAAAACAGTCTGAAATAGGTGGTTGCACACTATTGTGCAAGCACAACCCTAGAAAAAATGAATTATTTTAAAACATAAGAGAGTTTATGGTGTGCATTTGTGTATGTGTCAGAGCAGTTCAGATAAGACGTTCATACAGTGAGGAAATGAGGAAGGAACCTCACTGAGAAGGGACGCTTTATAACTTGATGACCCTGTAAAACATTCACATTGAATTAATGGTTTAATTAGTGGTATTAGAATTTGTTTAATGATTTCCATGTTGTGAATGATAGTCCCATTAAGAGTCAAAATCAGTTAAGTCAATGTCCCAGAGGCCCAAGATGGTGACAGGTAGATTCAAAATGTGTGTCTGACAAACATTGGGTGAGTGGTAGTGATGTTTCTTAATGAGGGGAAACAAGCCTTGTATAAAGAGAAAGTCATGAAAAAGTTTTACGGCCATTTTTTAAAACATTTCCAGAGAGGTGAACATTTGACATCTAGAATTTACATAGGAGTCCAGGCTCTGATCCATTTAAAACGTTCCAGCAGCCATCTTAAACTCTAGCTCTCTCAGGGTCCTGCCGGTTTTAGGTGTTTCCCAGCTTCAACACACCCAATTGAGACTGAACAGAACTCTTAAAAATTGCCAAATGTGAAAGAATTTGAATCAGGTGTGTAAAAACCAGTGGGTTAAGATTCATTGAAACTGATGCACAGGACTGTTTTTTTCTGCAAAAAAGGTCAACCCAGATTCTGAGCTCAAAGGTTCATACACTTTCGGTCATTATTTACAGATGTCAAATTGTTTAGTTTTTTTCACTTCAAAAAAATACACAAAAATGTTGGCTGAGACATATTTTGCCCCAGAGAGCTGTTTCCTGCCTAAAGTTGAGCTCTTTCTGCACACCATGTATTGGGATGAGAATCACCGTACATATGTTGTTTTTCAGTTAAGAAGTGCAGATATTATTTTCCTGTAAGAGCAAAATGGTGATTTATTCGTTATTCAGTGGGTGAAACTGCACATTGTAGACCTATCTAAGAAAATCTGTAGTGGTGAAAGAACTCTGATGAAATCACTCTATGATCCTGCTCTCTGAAACAGGATAGGTTGATTTCATTGCATTTCTTTACCACAAACCTCAGCACTCATCACTCATTCAGAGGTAAACGCCACAGAGCCACAGGCTGAAATGTCTTTCCCTGATTTGATCCTATGAGCACCCGTTTTTTGAAATGCCCTTTTTAACATGACGTGCTTTTTAGTGCAGCTGATAGGAGTCTGCATGTGTGTGTCTGAGCATCCATTGATCCATAATAGACTATTATGTCAAGGCCACACTTTGTGGCGCTCCATATTTCTGGATTTCCTGGAAAAGTTTTTCTTTACTTCAACTCAACTTGTTCCACATTTATTGATATTTATATGCTAAATCTACTGATACAAATGTGGATAATTGAACTTTTATGTCCACCTGACAGACGGAATGTTATGGTTGGAAGTGAATGTCAGTCTCCAGATGTTTGAACCATGTCTACCTCCCATCTTTTTCTTCACAGTGTGTGTGAGCGGGGATCCCTTAATTGCTCCCGGGAGCACTGTGAGGGTGTGCAGCAGTGTCCGGGTCCTCTGGTCTACGCTCCACGCTCCTGTCTCCTCACCTGCTCCAGCCTGGACCCCCCTGGTCAGCAACCAGGGTCCAGTATCTCACAAACCAAGTGCAGAGAGCCACTCTCTGGCTGTGTCTGTCCTCAGGGAACTGTCCTTCAAGTAGGTGAAAACAGTGTCACTACATCTTCTGAAAGTAATACCATTTGTGTTTGAAAGAAATAGTCAGGTAATAGCCTGGTAATAACAACTGGTATATCAGGTTAATAACAGAGTGGAACTGAATTTACAGCACAACTAGTGCACTAAAACTGAAGCAGTAAAGACAAAAAAAATCAAAGATGGAAATAATGTGTGTTTTCTGGAAGTATAAATGGATACATTTTACAGTATACATGTAATCATGGCTCAAAGCGCACAACATAAAAACTTAGAGGTTATTTGTTTAAACCAGCCAAAAACTTTTCTAGGGAGGCAGTTCCCAGGTCACCGAGGTGGATCATGAATAAGCAAAAAAGAGAGATACTAACATCCTAATAACCAAAGGGCTTGGTGGCATGTTGGGTTAGATCTTTAGAGCTTGGATTGAGCTTTAAAGATTTTGTTGCTGACATAATCTATTCAAAATGACGTGACTGTTTCAATACAATTCCCAGGTCTCTCACTTGAATTAAATTCAAGTACTTTTCCATTGTTCCAGTGTTGATTTTATCTTGAGCAACATCTGGTTTCTCCACAAATTCTGGCAGTGCGATAGTATTTTTGTGCCGATATACCAGCAGAAATAAAAGCAAACACTGATGATACCTTATGATACCAAAGCATACTGTACTGGTAAACGCACCCTTCAATGTTAAATGCTGTGGATATTTAATGTCTGAGCATTTATTTTCTTACTGTTATGACCCATAATATTGTTTGTCTGAGCACTAATATATAAGTATTGTGTTTTTAAATGTAGGACGATCGCTGTATTTTACCTGATGAGTGCCCATGTCACCATAATGGTCAACTTTACTATGGCAATGAGACCATCACAAAAGACTGCAACACATGGTAACACACACAGCTATTCTATTGCACCTGCCTCAGGTAAAATGGAAATATTTCCACTGAACATCTGAAAATGATTCCCTCCTGCAGTGTGTGTAAGGAGCGGCGCTGGCACTGCACCCAGTCTCTCTGCACCGGGGTGTGTGCAGCTACTGGTGATCCCCATTATGTGACATTTGATGGCCGCTGCTACTCTTTTCTTGGTGACTGCCAGTATGTGCTGGCAAGAGAAACCAGTGGATTGTTCAGTGTTACAGCAGAGAACGTTCCCTGTGGGAGTACAGGGGTCACCTGCACCAAGTCAGTGACCCTCAGCCTGGGACACACCATCATACATCTGCTGAGAGGTAAG